GTGTTGCTCCCTCCCCAACCAGAGCTTTCTGACCAGCTAAATAATTCACCCTGCGAACAATTATGTAACGCTACGAGCTGCACTTTAGAGAGACCCTCTCTCAAGGCGGTTCAAGAGAAGTGCCACAAACGGAATCCCATTTGGAAATGGAGAGTCTTCTTCCTTCTGCCGGTCCCACGACGATTGCTTTTAATTAATAACCAGTTGCGTTAGGGCAATCGCATGCATCTGTTTTAAAAGGAGCCTTCTCTTTGCACCGGTGCAGGATCGCATCATTTCAAGGGTTATCTGAAGAAAATGTTAATGAACAGCATCCGAAACTTGTCAACCAAGGCTTTCACAAAGGGAGTGTTACTAAATTTCGGGCCTTGAGGCGAAGAGAAGGACTTTTGAGGCCTTTGGATCCCATTTTGTGGGAGGGAGTTGGCACGAGAGACAGTGAAGGAAACGGGGCTTCGTTCTTTGAGTTCAAAAGCTCGCTCACTTTTTTAAAAAAAAAAATCAGGATTAAACAGCATGTGGACTGCCAAGAATGGAAGACTTGCTCCAAATGTTAACAGGAGCAGGGGTCATGCAAAAGGCAGGAGCTGCGTTTTAACACTGACAGCCAAATCCTAGGCATCTTTCCACAAAAGCAAGCCTCACCAAGTTTGCGTCGGAGCTTACTCCCAAGAAGGCACATAGGGTTCCAGTGCAGCAGAGGTTTGAGGTTAGACGAAGCAAGTTGCACCTCATCCTCAACGTGATTAAGAGCCAAAATGGCTAATTAAGCCCCACAGGGCTGACTACCATTGCAAGTACAATGACTGCCTTTTGAGGGGGGAAGGAAATAAACACAGTGAAATTAAGTGAATGGCCCAAGGCCACTGTGAAAATCAGCATCAGAGAAGGAAATGAATTTTTCAGGAATTCTGCCCCGCCCTGCCCCGTGCCAACCTTCACCACATTACCATCCTGAGAATGTTTCTGCTGTACACGGCTTGTGTCCATTTCACAGTCATAATCAGTGAAGACCCCTTTGGGCAGTTCCCTTTGACGTCCGTATGTTGGTCTCATTGAACTTGCCGCCTGAGCCAGACTATTGTTTCATCTCTCTTAGCGCTCTCTTTACTGGCTGGAAGTGGTTCTCCAGACTTCTGGACAAGGGTCGCATCCTGCCCTACCTGGAGATACGAGATTATGAACCTTGTACAAGTCGGAGCAAAACAGTACAAATTGAGAGCATTTGCAGATGACTTAGTATTGATATTGCAGGAGCCAGAATCTAGTACTAAAAGGGTTTTGGAATTGATTCAAGAATTTGGTCAGGTAGCAGGATTTAAACTGAATAAGTTAAAAACAAAGGTCTTAGAGAAAAAAATAACTGCGATTGAGAGAGAGAGGTTTCAGAATGAGACAGGTTTAACAGTGGTTAAGAAAGTGAAATACCTGGGGATTAACATGACAGCTAAAAATGGGAATCTATTTAAAGACAATTATGAAAAATGTTGGGCTGAAGTGAAAAAAGATTTAGAAATTTGGTCAAATTTGAAGCTTTCACTGCTAGGCCGTATTGCTGCGATAAAAATGAATGTATTGCCTAGAATGTTGTTTTTGATTCAAACATTGCAAATTTTGGACAAAATGGATTGCTTCAAGAAGTGGCAGAGAGATATCTCTAGATTTGTCTGGCAGGGCAAGAAGCCCAGAATAAAATTTAAAATATTAACGGATGCAAAGGAAAGAGGTGGATTTGCCCTGCCAGACCTTAAACTTTATTATGAATCAGCAGCTTTTTGCTGGCTGAAAGAATGGCTGCTTCTTGAAAACACAGACATTTTGGACTTAGAAGGTTTCAATAATGTATTTGGATGGCATGCATATTTGTGGTATGATAAGGTCAAAGCACATAAAGTATTTAAGAATCATATTGTCAGGAAAGCATTGTTTAATGTCTGGATAAGATATAAGGATTTATTGGAAAATAAAACCCCAAGGTGGTTGTCACCGATGGAAGCGAAAGCACAGAAAAAGCTCAATATGGAGGCCAAATGGCCGAAATATTGGGAAATTCTGGAACAAGAGGGAGATAGATTGAAACTGCAGAGTTTTGAGAAACTAAAAAACAAGTGCGAGATTGGCTTCATTATTATCAGATAATGGAGGCATATAATTCGGACAAGAAAATTGGCTTCCAGGTGGAAAAATCAATATTAGAAACAGAACTGTTAGAACCCAAAACTAAGATTTTGTCAAAGATGTATAACTTGCTGTTGAAATGGAATACTCAGGATGAAACGGTGAAATCTGCTATGATTAAATGGGCACAAGATGTTGGACATAACATAATGATGGCTGACTGGGAACAGTTATGGACCACAGGTATGAAGTTTACGGCATGCAATGCCTTAAGAGAGAATATTATGAAAATGATATACAGGTGGTACATGACACCAGTCAAGCTTGCAAAAATCTATCATTTGCCCGATAATAAATGCTGGAAATGTAAAGAAACTGAAGGTACATTCTTTCACCTTTGGTGGACGTGCCCAAGGATTAAGGCTTTCTGGGAGATGATATATAATGAATTGAAAAAGGTATTTAAATATACCTTCTTGAAGAAACCAGAGGCCTTTCTTCTGGGCATAGTCGGCCAATTGGTGCTAAAGAAGGATAGAACTTTCTTTATGTATGCCACAACAGCAGCAAGAATACTTATTGCAAAGTATTGGAAGACACAAGATCTACCCACTCTGGAAGAATGGCAGATGAAGGTGATGGACTACATGGAACTGGCGGAAATGACTGGCAGAATCCGAGACCAGGGAGAAGAGTCGGTGGAAGAAGATTGGAAGAAATTTAAAGACTATTTACAGAAATATTGCAAAATTAATGAATGTTAGAATGATGTCAGAATGAAGTTAAGTGGTTTTAGCAGCAATGTCATAAAGGTGTATGTAAAAATGGATTGTTAATAGGTGAGAATCTAAAGCTATAATATATTAAGTTAAAGGACTAAGACAAAAACAAAGAGGGAAAGGAATTGCTGAATTAACCAATTGAACTGGAATACAAAAAAGGGAGGTGAGAAGAGGTCAGGGAAGCAAGGAAATGAAATGTAAGATACGGAAGGATTAATTTGTTTTTAAGTGTTTTTTTATTTTTTTTCTGTACTTTGTATTTTGTATGTTTTTTCTCTTTTTTATTTTTTCCCTTGTTTCTTTTCTTTTTAACTATGTAACTTTTTGTTTCTGAAATTTTAATAAATATTATTTTTTTTAAAAAAGAGAGATTATGAACCTTGTAGTGCTGTTGTTTCTGAGAACATGTAAGCACGTAGTTAAACAATGGAATGAGCTCCCAGAGGAAGTGGTGGTGGCCATCACTTGGATGGCTTTAAAAGAGGACTAGAGAAATTCAAGGTGGGATGCAGGTGGCACTGTGGGTTAAATCACAGAGCCTAGGACTTGCCGATCAGAAGGTCAGCGGTTCGAATCCCCGTGATGGGGTGAGCTCCCGTTGCTCTGTCCCTGCTCCTGCCAACCTAGCAGTTCGAAAGCACGTCAAAGTGCAAGTAGATAAATAGGTACCACTCCAGTGGGAAGGTAAACTGTGTTTCCGTGTGCTGCTCTGGTTCACCAGAAGCGGCTTAGTCATGCTGGCCACATGACCCAGAAGCTGTACGCCGGTTCCCTCGGCCAATAAAGCGAGATGAGCGCCGCAACCCCAGAGTTGGTCATGACTGGACGTAATGGTCAGGGGTCCCCTTTACTTTAGAGAAATTCAAGAAGGCAAGGGCTATCGATGGCCACTAACCATGAAGACTATGCTCTGTCTCCACAATCGGTGGCTTGAATTCTTCTGTGTACCAGTGGCTGGAAACCACAACAAGGGAGTGTGCTCTTGTGCTTCCTGGTTTTCCACAGGCAACTGGTTGGCCACTGTGAGAACAGGATGCTGTGGAATAGATGGGTCATTGGCCAACAGGCTCTCCTTGGGTCATTATGGGATACCCTGTGTCACTGTTGTAAGGGTTTGTGAGATAATGTACAGTGGTACCTCTGGTTGAGAAAGGGATCCGTTCCGGAGGCCCATTTGCAACATGAGCAGAACACAACCCGCGTCTGCGCACTTGCAGGTCGCGATTCGCCGCTTCTGCGCATGTGCGTGACGTCATTTTGTGCATCTGCGCATGACGAGTGGCAAAACCTGGAAGTAACCTTTTCCGGTACTTCTGGGTCGCCGTGGGACGCAACCTGAAAACGCGCAACCTGAAGCAAACGTAACATGAGGTATGACTGTATTAGTCATGCTTTTATCAGGAACAGAGAAACTGTGGCCTTATAGATGTTGCTGGCTTCCAACTGCAGTCAGCCAGTGCCAGCATGGTCAATGACCAGGAGAGATGGGAGCCCTGGGCCAGTAACATTTGAGGAAGCCACAGATTCTCACCCCTGCTTTAGATACAGTGGTGCCTTGGATTACAGACGCTTCAGGCTACAGACTCCGCTAACCCAGAAATAGTACCTCGGGTTAAGAACTTTGCTTCAGGATGAGAACAGAAATTGTGCAGCGGCAGCGCAGTGGCGGCGGGAGGCCCCATTAGCTAAAGTGGTGCTTCAGGTTAAGAACAGTTTCAGATTAAGAACGGACCTCCGGAACGAATTAGGTTCTTAACCCGAGGTACCACTGTACTTTAAAAGAGCAATGTGCATGACAGGGCCGTCTTAAGCATATACGGTGGCATGCTTCAAAGATCCCTCTGGCGTCCTGCCCCCCGCCCCCCAGTTTCCCAGAGTTGCTTTCCCCCCGTGGAGGCTTGGGAGGCAAGCTGCATGCCCACCAGCCATATTGCTGATGGGGCACAGCTGGCGGGCATGCAGGGGAAAGGGGAGGCTACCAGCAAAGCCCCGCAGCTCCCCCACTCGCTGGGGCGCCCCTGAGAGGCCAGCGCCCTGGCGCAACGCACCACTAAGCCCAATAGGAAAGACGGCTCTGGTGCATGGTACTATTAAGTCTGAGCATGGTTCAGTCGGTAGAGCAGGAGAGTCTTAATCTTGGGGTCATGGGTTTGAGCCCCACGTGGGGCAAATGATTCCTGCACTGCAGGAAGTTGGACACAGGAGTGCCAATTTGAATAAAACATTGGGTCCCACTTAATCGTTCACAAGACATAGTGCACACACTCTGTTTGAATGACCATTAACTTGGATGGCTTTAAAAGAAGATCGGAGGAATTCATGACGGGGAGGGCAAGCAATGGCTACTAACCATGAAAGTTATGCTCTGCATCCACAGCTGGAGGCATTAATCCTTCTGAATCGCAGTGGCAGCACCCTCAAATATTTTAGGGGGGGACAAAGACCCCCACGGCCCCCATGACTTGGCTCCTATGGTTGGACTAGATGGGCCTTCTGGTCCCTTCTGACTCTACAATTCTATGACTCTATGACAGGGGTCAGCAACGTGCAGCCCATGGGCCGGATGCGGTCCACGAAGACAATTTTACTGGCCCCCGAGCTGCCCCTGAACTGAGCCACCCACTCGGCGAGTCCCCCACACACTGCACTAAACCAGAACAGCGAAGCGAGGGGACTTGCCAAGCGGTGCCGGAAATCGCATCTGCGCATGTCCAGACGCTGAAAATCGCTTCTGCACAGGCGTGATTTTCAGCGTCTGGACATGTGCAGAAGTGATTTCCAGTGCCATGGACATGCGCAGATGCAATTTCTGGCATCACGCTGAGCCAGTCCGGCTCCGGGAGACCATCTCCGTGGGAGTGATCCATCGGAGTAAACCTTGCTGACCCCTGCTCTATGATTCTAAAAAAAAAAGACTTCCTTTCCCCTCCCTCCCTGTTCTCAGTTCCTGGAGCTAACATCTAAGCAAAAAGAAGAAGAAAACCAGTGGCAAATGGAGAGAAAAAATGCAGTGGATGTTTCATGAGCTGGCTAGCCATGAAATGGGTATCATTTTAAAATATTTACTATTCATGCAACACCACATGCCTTAATGATGGCGCATTTTGAGTCTCCACTTGACTCTTTCGGCGAGAGCACTCTCTGTAGCCATGGCATTTTTCAAATATTAAAACACCACCTAATCCAGGACATCAAAGCCGCTCTTAATACGATTCGGGAGGTCAAAAACAGACTACAAATAAACATCGCCGGGTGTGTTTTTTAAAAAAAATAAACATATTTATTCACTTCCCTAAGAATTCCGCCTTCAATCACAGCGCCTGCGTTCTGCCAGCAGTTTAACATCTTTCTACTGAAATTATCTCCTAGACCCATGAAATCATTATACCTGTTGTTCTGTTGAAAAAGAAACATATTTAGCAAGAGGCAGCCATACCTATTTTTCCTTGAAGGCAAGGAACAAACAGCTAGAATTAGGCAAATGTCTCTGGAGCCCAGTCCTTCCAAGTAATTCTCAGGTTGGTTTTAAGCGTGTATATCCCACCATTTTGACACACTTTTCAAAATACTGTTGTGAGTTTGCAAGGAGGGTGGGGTGTTAGGCCGTATGTCTGAATCCCTTCTAGTTCCAGGATCCAGCAAGGATACAACTGTTGGCTAACCAGCTTCTTGGTGAGTTAATGGCCCTCTAAGTACTGTTCGTGCCACAGGGCGAAAGGATGGGACCCCCTTTCTCACCTGACTGTTGGTGAGAAGGACAGGGGCAGAGTTATATGTGCATGAGCTAGATACTGGAGGCAGGATGCGGGCAGAAGCCTGAGGGGAAGAGCCACGCTTGAATTCTGCTTAAATCCAAGGCTGTGACTATGGGAGAAGCAAGACCTTCCAGGGTTTTAATACTGTGAATGCATTAGGCCCAGGTTGCATTTGTTTTGTTTTTTTATAAGATATTTATTAGGATTTTTAAAATATTACAATAAAAAATGAAAAAGAAAAAAAATACAAAATAAAAATGATTAAAAACACTCAGATTTTCTATTACTTATTTTTCCTTAGCTTGTTTCCCGGACCTCCTCATACCTCCCTTTCTTGTATTCCAGTTCTCATTTGTTGTTGTTGTTGTTTATACCCTGCCCATCTGCCTGGGTTTCACCAGCCACTCTGGACGTCTCCCAATAGAATAATAATAATAATAATAATAATAGCGATAAAACATCAGACATTAAAAACTTCCCTAAAATGGACTGCCTTCCGATGTCTTCTAAAAGCCAGATAGTTGTTTATTTCCTTGACATCTGATGGGGTGGGGTGTTCCACAGGGCGGGCACCACTACCGAGAAGGCCCTCTGCCTGCTTCCCTGTAACCTCACTTCTCACAGGGAGGGAACCGTCAGAAGGCCCTCAGAGCTGGACCTCAGTGTCTGGGCTGAACAATGGGGATGGAGACGCTCCTTCAGGTATATTGGTACCCATTTTGCATCAGGTGGAGGGCCCTCAACCCTCCCCTTTTAACTAGGGATCCATCCAGGGCCGTCTTTAGCATATGCACTGCGGGGTGCAAAGATCTGCCCAGCGCCCCCAAATTTAGTTTAGCCCCCCAAATTAACTTTTATTATGCCTTATGTCACTATTATCATTTGATAAACAGGGCTCATGCCTGTGTAGCTCAAAAGGAGGGGTTTTTTTGTTTAAAACCAGCTTTTCTAAAGAAGACAAAGAACACATTGGGAGTTGGTGTACAGACTCCACACATGCGCTTACGGTCGTAGGGAGGTGTCTGAAAGATGAGACGGGCGGGCATTGTGTGCATGCGAGGTCCAAGTCCTGTCCATGGTCAAAGGTGCATTGTGGAGGCAGTCCGTAGTAGCTGAAGCTGGGTGCAGGGCAGGGAGTCGGGTGAAGTCAGGAACAGGCATGCAAGCAGGGAGCCAGGGCTGGTCAGGAGCTCAGGCAGGAAAGCAGGACAGGGTTCAGGCAGGAACTAGCAACCAACAATGTTGCTCCTGCAACTTGGGACAGGGGCTGGCCAGCTTCTATCTGCCCCAAGGCATAGGGCGGCCCCGATCCTCTGGTGACTTGCCTCTCCTGGCCTGGAGGCGAGCACTCCTCCTGCGGGAACTTAGTTCCCTCCACCTCTCTGCCCTGAGCCTCTGCAGCTCAGGAGAGGCTGGAGAGTTACCAGACCCAGAGGCAACCTCAGCTTCCTCTGACGGGGCTGAGAGTGGAGCACCTGCAGGCAATGGGTCCTCCATCACCTCAGGAGCCAGAGCAGACTCAGCTGGTGCCTGCGCCTGAGGATCCAGCACAGGTGAGGACCCTTCAGGCTCATGCCCGGCTCAGCTGGTTCCGGAGGCAGGGAATCCTGTGCAGGCTGGGATCCCTCAGGTTCCAAATCTCAGGCCATCACACTTTCATTGTGGGAGCAACCTTATTTCTAGAAGAGTGGGGAGGGCCCTTGCGAGCGCACATATACGAGTTCTTCTTGGGAAGGAGCCTGTGCACGCTCCTGTCGCTAGATAGGCGCATCCTCTTTCTGTCTGTCTCTTCCTCTTTCCTGTCACTCCCCTTCCTCGCGGCAGACATGCGGTGCGAGATCAGTCGTGTCAAAGGTGCCGCTGGCCTCGTTGCCACATAGCAGCTTAGGTGGCTTCAGGGGTGGGCACCTGGTGCCCCCGCAGAATTTGACGCCCGGGTGCCCCGCACCCCTTGCACCCCCAGGTAAAGATGGCCCTAGATCCATCCCAATGCCTTATCCACCAGCAACGAAAGTGGTGACAGTTGCTTTGAGATGCATAAGGTCCCAGGTTCAGACCTCAGCATCTCCAAAAAGGGCTCTGAGAGACCTTCGTTTGAAACCCTGGAGAGCCTCTGCCAGTCAGAGCAGACAGTACTGTGCTAGACAGACCGATAGTCTGACTTGTTATTAACCACCTTTGTGTGCTGCTATGTTCCTAAATATATATTATTATTATTTTAAAAAGACCTGGGCAGGAGGAAGGCATTTAAATATGTTTAACATTTGAAAGTGGAGATTTCCTTTTTTTAAAATGGAAATGGAAACCGGCAGGCAGGAAGGAAGGAAATTTGTTCTGTGACGAAGATTTGCATACATTTTTATTTCATCTTGTTTCTGCCGCTCTTTCCTCCTCTCCTGTTGCTCCCCTTTGCAGGTGTGCAGCTGGTTTGCAAGCGAGACTCAGAAATGCTGACTTGGAACCAAAACTGTGCACATCAATTATGAATTGTCAAAAGTGGATGAATATGTTGTTTTGTAGAGTTGTTAATATTTCAGCAGGATAATTCGAAGTCTGGGGTAAACTGTGAATACTCCATTTTTCTTTCTCATTTCTAAGAAAGGTTTATTTTATGTTATATATTTTTTTAACAAAGCGGGGGGGGGGATTTCACATCCCCTTTGGCTCTCCATTCTCTGGCTGTGCTCAGTTTGCTCCCTTTCGAGCTGTCAAGCCAAGTGTTTTTCAGACCCCTCATTAACAAAACAGACAACCAATCTCAATATGCATTATCAAAATTAGATCTTTTCGGAACAGTTGACAATTATGTATTATACAGTTACATGCATATAAATCTGGGACTCGGCTTTGTTAGGTTTTGCCGCTGACTTTTTAACAAAGTGCTCCTAATTACATTTTGCATTGTGCCACCTCTCTGTGGGGCATCTTTTTATTTTATTTTATTTTATTTGGGGAGGGGGCCACTATACTCTGCAATTTGTTTCAGGCTGAATGTGAAAGAATGCACAAGAAAAGCCCCAAATCATACAGTGCAGAGGGTTTTTATTATTGTCAGAGAGTTTATTCTGCTAGTAAGCAGGCCCCCAGTAGACGCAGAAGTCGAAGTTTCTTCCCTCGTACAAACTTTTTGTATCTAAGTGCAAGTGCTGAGACAGATGGCGAAATAGACTCATGTCAAGGCCAGCAGTCTCAGGTTTGACTGGTTGCTTCTAGTGCTGAGCAAAGCTGCCACCTCCCCATTTCTCAAGGTTTTCTTCCTTTGCAAAAGACACTTCCACGTTTTTATCTGTCTCATTCTCAGGGCACTTTCTAATTCCAGTGGGTTTCGAGCTTAACTTGTGATTGCAAGGTGGTCAGGAATGATGCATATAGTGTAGAACCAGTGTGGTGTAGTGGTTAAGAGCGGTGGACTCA